CAGTGGTCGTTCACACTTAGGTCTGTCAGTGAAAAACCATGTGGTGCTTGGATCAGTCTTTGATCACTGGAATGCTGAAGTCCTCATTCCTGCCTTCCACAAATGATAAGCTTGAGGGAGAACAAAGCACTCCCTGAACGGGGGTTACTGTATGTTAATGTTACCCCCCTCTCCACAAGAGGCAGTGTAGTTTATCTGAAGACAACTGGCATCCTGTGTTGTCCACAAAGCCTGATCAAATCAAAATGAAGCTGTCTTCTGCTGTCCACTACACCTGGCTTAATCTAAACCCTGTCTGTGAAACTGGGCCATAGGTTGGCAGGACAGATCTCACTTAAGGTTTGAGGCATACGCATCAAAATGAACTACAACTATTTTTGATGATTTATTTTCTTTATGTGTGTAATTACAGAAGCTACCTCAGATTCAGACCCCAGTGCCACCCGGTGGACAACATGGAGGACTCATCAAATGTGTAGCTCTCATCCATGTCGTTCATGAGATTCTTTGCCTTAATACTGGAGTACCTGTCTGTAAATGAACAACTGAAAAAAATCTTCAATACTTCAAGACAATACTGATTAAGTAATAATGAAAATGACTTCTCTTATGTATCCTTATTCTTTATAAATATTGGCAGAAACAGTCATTTTTGTGTTTAGGACTAATTTTAAAAAGTTGTTGATCTGAGACAAGCACATCTTATGTTTTCATCCCACGAGTATGAGAGATTTATCTTTTAGAGTAATGCGAGTTTTCTTTGACAGAAAATAATAAAACCTCGTGTAATGTCAGGTTGAGGTCTTTATGTTGAGCCAATAAAATTAGTCTGGAATTATTTCACAAAAAAATAAATAAATAAAGAGGCTTGCATAAAAATTAAAATATATATTTGTTTCTGATATTTTGTATGAATAAACTCCTGACTACATTCACCCTGGGGAAAAACTGAGGAAGTCTATCAGGTGGAATGGCTGGGGTTAAGCAAAGGGTTTAGAGGAGATGGAAGAGGTTAAGAGCTGTGACAGAACTGTGTGATGGCGCCACTTAATTGCATTATGTGATGTTTAATGTGCACTCTTTTCTTAAAGTATAAAAGTCCTGGACATTTTTGATGCCAAAACGTTTGGTGGGAAATGGATTTGGTCTTTCAGACACCGGGCAATGTTTTAAAAATATATATATTTCCCAGAGGTGTGAGATGAACACCATCACATAAAAACTGTCCAGGATCTCTATGCTTGATCTGAGGGTGATGTACAATAGCGCCAGGCTTTGTCAATTTTCTTTAATCTTCTTAAATCTTCAGTTTGTTTAGATCATTCTCAAATTAAAAAATCTTATGGTGAAATAATACAAGATTTGATTTCTAGATATTTTTACTTACTCTTGGCCTGTGTGGACGATACCTGTGAGGATACTGGATTTCTTGATGTCATTATTTGTTTAAAATGAGGATAACAAAAATTAAACAATGACTAACAATCTATTCAAATATAGACTATTGATTCTATATGAGAAAAGTAGATGTGTGTTTTGCATTAATAACTAATTACTAACATATTGAATGAATGTGTTAACCATAAATTCTAGGATGCTAACCTAGCTAAAACAGACTGCATGAGCTAAGTATGACGTTGATTTAGCTGTTCACCAAATTGTAATATCGCTTGATATCGCTGCTCCACTTTGCGCTCACTACTGCGCAGACTCGAGACTCAAGATGTCAGCACAATATTGGGACACTGGCGGCTTCAGTTACTCCAACAGAAGAGAGTGAGGGTGCGTCATCCATCTTTTTTACAGTCTATAGTGGTGACAATGAGTGATGAGAAAATGAGTGATGGTTTCAAGGAATGTGTTTTAGCAATTCAGAAAAAAAAACTGTAATATGGAAAATATCAGTAATTATTGTTGGATGAATAATAAGTAAATACATTAATTCTCTACACTTAGCCTATAGTAAACTATCAACAAATTACGATGCAATCAATAAGGTCTAACTTAATGTCCATCTTCCACAGAAAACAGGCAGAACAGAGAGAGAGAGACCATGTAGAATGTCAGAAAGGTTCACTAGATGTATTTCTGCAGAAAAAGCCATAATTTAAAAAGGCCACAGAAAAACAGGATCAAGAGGACAGATGTGATGAGAACAGGGATGGGGAAATAGCAGAGGTATAGAGTCGTGTATGTCTCTTTTAATGAGATAATAGATAATAGGTTTATACTGTGTGTAGTGTATACAGTATGTTGCATTTGTAGGTGTAATCTTGGTAAGTTTTCGACAGGTTTCACTATACTTTCACTGACATTTTCAAACATTTTGCCCTCACAATTATAACCAAACCTATACACGTGTGGGCTGACAAACTTTGTTAGTTGTTTAATATTAAAGCTGTGAAACATGACACGAGAAAAATAGGAAAATTATAAACAATAATTACAATAACACAACAAATATGGTAAAAAGAAGCTGATATACTTTTATACAGTACAATTAATTTGTATAAAAAAAATCTGTAGATAGGCATGTAATCTGCCCATAGATACTATTGTATTCCTCAGTATGAAACATTTAAAATGTTAAAATAAATGTTACAGTGTCCAATTTTAACATTTTGTCTTTGAGGCTAAAAAAGATTATAATGCAATATTAAGGGTTTACATGTATAATGCAACTGCTTTTCAGATCTAATGTACAATCTATCTCTCCCATCTTTTTCATTCCCTTTTCCCTCATTAAAAATATTGTTAGGACCCTATCACAATGTAATCCAGTCAAAAGCTGTCTTTATCAATCAATAAAATAAACATTTCTATATTAATTCCATGAAGAAGCACACACAAATCTTCAGGGTTGAGTGTAGCCAACAAAAACAACCACTACTGTACAATAATGAAAATATAATAACACAAGAAAAAGTTAACCCCCCCCCCCTTCCTTTAAGGTGCAGTATTCAGATGACCACTGTACAAAGCAATGTTTGTTGTGGAGGCTTTAGGTTGGTAGTGTTAAAATTTACAAATCCATTGTGTATTTGATGTCATAAGCTACTGGTCCCCCCATTGTGAAGCCTAAGAAAAAGGACACCTCCTCCATGCTACATCCACTTCGAAGACCTCCCAGGTAAACTGGCCGCACAGGAATTCTAAGATTCCCACCATAGTGAACATAAATAACACCATTTTCTGTTTTTCCCTTAACTCTTTGAAGTAAGTTTTGCACCTCTGGTTCTCTCCATATTGCTCCGCTCTGCCATAGTTGGTGGATATTGGGGTGTTTTTCTTTGTCCACCACCTGATCTAGCTTTGCTTTATGGATTACCCTTTTCAGTTCTTTGGATTTTCCAAGGTAGAAGTGTGCAATGGCACTCTTTGCTGGGAACAAATGGGAGAAGCGCCGATGGAAGGATTTCTTTGTAGATGTAACATACGTGCATATGTTTTTCGACAGTGTTGTGTCAACCATGTTGCTCTCCTTTCCTGGCCATAGCAATAACATTGCAAGGTAGTAGGCCTCAGTACATTCTGAATAAGTGCCCTTCTCTTGGAGGATGACATTCAGAAGGTGCAGAAGCTCGTTAAACCTTTTTAGGATTGGTGACCTTGGCTTAACACAGTAGAGAACAATGTTTGCCAAGATGAAATTCACTTGGTTAATGCAATTCTTAGAATTTTCGGAAATGAACTGCCATTTCTTTAAAATGAGTTCCATTTGAGACCCATTTTTCTCAGTTAGACACTGTAGTAACCCAGCAAATGTATTAGCACGCTTTTCCTCCAAATAGCATCTGTAGTCCTCCAACTTCTGTCCTAAGCTAAGATTTGGTTGACTTGCTCTCTCCATTTCTTTCTCTTCCCCAGACTGACAGAATAATTTAACATATTTTTTGAAGTATTCTGAAACTTTTCTCTTGTTTCTGTCCTCAGCCGTTTCTCTTTCAATCGACCTAGGTTTTAGGTAGGTAAAGTAGTTTTCGAAAAACTCAAAGATTTCTTTCATTCTTGGTTTCAAAGAGAATAAAAACTTTTCATGGTTTATTAGCTTGGGAATGAATTCAGCAGTCCTCTGATCGGTTTCACGAAAACTGTGAAGAGAAGTACTGCTTTTTAGGAAACTTAATAATGTTTCCCATTGATAACCATCATGTGTTCTAAAGATTTTCTCTAGAACATCAAAGATGATCATTGCAACATCAATCTCGCCAACATAGCCTGATGTATTGTAAGTCTTTTGCCTTTTCCTGATTGGTTGATCAAGGAAATCCTGGTCATCCTTCTTTGCAAGATCCTGTGAATCTTTGAATGCCATAGTGGCATTGACAGCCAACTGCAAACATTCATCTAACTCTTCTGGAGTGAGTTCATTTTTCTGCTCTGTTTCATACATAAATTTCAAATGACTTTTGTAAACCTGCCCCAAAGTGTCAGCGATATAAGAGTTGTATTCCTTTTGTCTCGCATCCTGTGCCCATTGCAATGCAGAAGTGAAATCTTTCTCTTTCAGGTAGAAGTGTCTCGCTAGAGCCTGAGGCACTGTTGCATTTTTGTCAAATCTTTTTGTGGCAAGTGTTAAAACTTCTTTGCTCTCTGCCAAAGGCATTTCTTCAATCAAAGGAGAAAAGAGGGTGTCTTTGTCATCACCATGTTCCTTTCTTTGACGGGTGATCAGCATACTCAAAATACTTTGAATGAGTATATCTTTGCCCATACCAGATTTGTACAGTTGGTTGCAATGCAGTAAGTTGGTCGTTATTTCACTCAGTTTAAGATTGTGCTTACTTATTAGGACTTTAAGGCAGTTTTCCGCAATCATTTGGTGCAGGAAGCGAACTGCTTGGTAAGTGCCACATTCCTCAACATTGAAAGAGATAAGCAGGGTTGAGTAAGGATTCATTTTTTCCTCCAGTGTTTCCTGCTTCCAAAGATTCTTGATTCCAACAAGTTCCTCACATAGTGACAATGACATACATGAGCCATGTACATATGTATTTAACAGTGCCAAGAATGAGAGTAACTGTCCTTCCCTTTTTGAGACATCAAGGTCTTTGAGAATGTTGCATACAAGGTTTTCTATGTATTTTTCACTGAAGTCCTTAGTCATGATCATAAAGGCATAGAATGTTTCAGGTTTTTCATGATGGCCTTTGAGTTCCTTCAGCTTCATCTGGAAAAAGGCCTGCTCCTTTGTGGAAAGTTTGTTGGTAATGAAAACACTGTCAATTCTGCTCTTTCTGGAGCTCTCACTCGGAAACTGTGACCTCTCACAGTTAAGGATGATCACAATTAAACTCTCCTGTTTTTTTTTTTCATGTGCTGCACAGAGTATGCACCGCTGTAGGTCCTCGACATCTTCCCAGTTGTCCACTAAAAGGAGAACAGGAGTGTAAGTTGATGGTTCTTCTTTTCCATAGGTCAGCAATTGTGTGACTTGGACTGCTATTTCACTACTTTGCGCAGAATTATTTTTCAAGACAGCACACCTGAATTTTCGTCTCAAGTTCCACAACACATGCATGGCCAGTGTAGTTCCACCACAGCCAGGGTGATGGAACAGGTTAATTATTATACATGGGGATGAGTAACCCTCTGTTGGTGTTATGAGGTTGTGTAGTTCCTCATACTTATCACGTTTTATGAATGGAATGGAGCCTGGTCTTTCTGACAGGTAGAAGTTCCACCATTTCACTTGGCCACCTCTGTAAAAGTCTTCCTCAGTTTTATTCTTGAATTGCATGAAAGAATCTATTGTTTCAATCTCTGTATTTTCACATTCGTTCTCGGCAAGTATTTCAAGGACTGTCATCTGAGCCTGATCCTTTTTTGTAAGAAGGACTGAGCTAGAGCCAAAGGAGGGCAGGTATCTGTTCACTGAACTTGTCTGAGGCTCCCTTGTTTTCTGAATGGTGCAATTGATCTCATTCAGACTTAACTCGTAAATACATTTACTTGTGATATCAACTTTACACCGAGTTTGTACTACGTGTTTCCATTGTTCAAATACTGTTAAATCTTTACAAATACAAAGCATGTTGTCATCCCCTTCAAGTTTTTGGTAAATTGCACAGAATGTCTCGGTGATTGGGCTAGAAATGTCATTCACAGCTGAGTGGAGTAAAAACATAACCACTAATTTCTCCTTTGATATAATGTCAGGCTTGCAAATTAAAGAAATCATTTCACTGACTTCTGTGGCACGTTTTTTCAGCCATTCACCATCGCTGAAAGGCATATCTGGTTCAGTTTCATTGACTTGACCATTACAAAAAACCCAGCTGGTCTGTTTAAACAAGTTCAGTTTGCTAATAATTGAAGAGATATTGTCTGCAGTGTTGTACAACCGTGGGTAGTGTATATTAGCCATACAATCTTTGCGATAGTAACTACAGGTTCCATTCTTTTGGGACTCTGGATCAAAATCAAGGACCACAAACAATTTAAGCTCTTTCAAAAAACTCAAATGCTCTAGCTGACTGACATGACACTTGTTTGTGATGACAATAAACTGTAAAGAGTTTTCCAGGATGTCCCTCCCATGAGTGATGAGTTGTTTAAGTCTCTGACCTTGAGAGCTTTGTCCTATAGACTCGCTGTCCCTCTCCTCTGCTGACTTTCTAGATAAAGCCCAAGACTTCACATCATCTGTTACTTTCTTCATTTTCTCCTGAACAGACCTAGGATTTTTATCAGCAAGAATATTGATGGTTCTTGCCCCAGAGCGAATAAAAAGGCATTCTGTTTTGCACTTCTTCTTCACCTCCTCCTTTACTGTGACCGTATAAAAAAGTTTTTCCAAAGTTTCAAAATAATTTGGGACAACGTCTACTTCAATAACCCACTTGTCCACATTGATGTTGTCTGGGCATTTTACCTGAACGAATTTGGGAGGCCTAATGCATGTCTTGGCAACATTGGTGTTTTCTTCAAAGTACTCCTCGAGACGCTTATCAAATTCATCAATGTATTTATCAGGAGATCTCAACTCTAATCCAATAATTTGTCCATGTTCATACTGTGGCTTGTCTCCGACTCCAAAATGGATAGTTCCGTTTGTTCGAGAATTCATGCATGCTGCAGTAAACCGAAATACTTCTTCTGTGAATTTTTTAAGGATATCCTTCTCTGAAGCATTCTCTGTGTTTGCCATGAGCTTGTACTCATGCACAGGGTCAATAAGATTGCTTGGACCCGTTTCCGGAGGAAGTAGTTCATTTTGTATATATACAAATGTTGTGCTGATTTCATCAAAAGGACGGGGCTTGCACAAACGTTTTACAATGTTCTTTGACATGTCCAATAAGTTCTCTGAACAGTTACTCTGACTCAGGTGCTCTTTGGTCTCCATCCTGACATTCTTTGCATTTGTTGCTTTTGTTGAGTCTGGCAACAAAGTTTTTGATTGTGCACTTCTTGCCCCATCTCCTTTTTTGTACTTCAAGTCGTGTACTGTATCATGCAATAATTCCCCTCCACCGCCTTTTGGTATGTCCTCTGAGGCACATGACAATGTGTGTTCAACTGCTTTAACATCACAGTTTTCCTGATTGCTTAGGTGTGAGTGTATCTCAAGTTCAGCAGATGTGCTGGTAGGTTTTTCAACTGCTGCTTTGTCTTGCTGATAATGTTCTGTTGAAAAGGTCCCTACTAATGCATCTGCATCGTCAGGTATGACCCTGCTCCTGAACATTTCTGAGGGCATTTTTAACTCAGACACTTTTTTAATTACTTGAACTGCAGGTCCATGCTTCCAACCAAGATCTATCAAGTCTTTTTTATCAAATGAGAGGAGACATGCTCCTGAAACATCTTCATTGTAAAGAATAGCAGCATAGTTCTGAGGGATTTTTACCACGTTAATGAGCCATTGGTGAACATCCTCCTTGGTCCAGTCATCTATTTTATTAAGTTGTGTCTCCATGTCAGCTGTTCTGCTATGTTGGGTACATTCTGCAAGCTGAAAGAAAAGAGATAAAAATGATTCAATATTGGCATTCAGAGTTATCATTTTTACTTGTTGTTTTGATTGCAATGTTTCTGCCAGCAACCACCTCACCGCTCCTTTTCTTACTATTAGTTTCTGTCCATTATCCGCTGGCCTAAAATAGAAAGGCCAAAAATCATATGATTCGATTTGCGCCTTCCGATTGCTTCTTCTGTGGACGTAGAGGCTTTTGCTGATAAAGGGAAGTGGCATTTAGCGGTTTCTGCCAACTAAGCGGTATTGAATGGGCTGACGCTGGGATTTAGCGGATTTGAAGCTAAAGTATTTGATGAATGTATACTATGAGTGGAGAGCATTCGCTCAGTATCATTCTCTCATTTTTGACGGAGGTGGCGTTTAGCGGCTTTTGCATCTGAACTCTTCATATATACATTTTCTGAAGATGTCTTGATTTTAAAATCTTCTCACAGACACTTATTTTGAGTGGCATTTTGGGAACTAGGCAACAACAGCAGATTGTTTTATAAGCATGTAAGTTTTTCTATGGACATTTTGGAGATTTTATTTGCATCTTGGTGTTTCCAAAATTCCCATAAAAATACAAAGATAGAAACATAGCTAATGTGAAGGGTTATGTGGTAAATTTCACCATCAATATGCTGCAATTACTAGTTGTAATCTGCACAATTTCTGAACAAGAACAAAACTTTGTTAGCACAGTGTGAATAGACTACCCTTACGAAAATTAATCATGGTTTTACTACAAAAAAAAAAAAAAAACATGGTTAATTTTCGTAAGGGTAAGGTGCAGCTGTCAATTTTACTGATTTTGACCTTGACCTAATTGAGAAATTACAACATGGACAGCCATGTTCGCTCCTTTTTGAATATCAGCTAGATAACCAGCATGTTGGAAGTGGCCTAATCCATCCAGCAATAAACCATCCACACTGACTCCACACTGGTCTGGCCTGCGACCCTGTAACGGTTTTGTTACGCCAGGTTCACACATACTCCGTCTGCGGTGCGTATTTTATTCCACACCCATGTTAACAGATTAGAGGATTCACAGATTCACACTGCACACTGTTGCACAGTGCGTTCCAGGAGTGGCGCGTCTGCAGCAGTGCAGCAATTGTTTTCTGCACCGAACATCAGAATCAGAAGGAGCTTTATTACCAAGTATGTTTACACACACAAGGAATTTGACTTGGCGACAGGAGCTTTCATGGCCCCACCAGAAAGAATTTGTTTAGCTACTTATACTATTTGTTCTGAATATGTTAAATTTAAAGGATTTGTTATGGAGTGAGAGGAACTAAAATATATTTTAGCTATGTTTATCTGTATTTATAATGTTAGTGTCACGGTGTGCCTATTGTGTAGGAATGAGGAGACGAAGGAGTGCGGAGTCAAAGGAAATCCAGAAGCATAATACGCTTTATTATCTTCAAACCAAGGGAACACACACATATCACACAGGGATGACATTTAAGACAGGACGCAGGACTCAGAAAACACAGGGCTAATATACTCAGAACTAAACAAGGAGATTACTGGGACACAGCTGAAACAAATGGAACTTAATGGGAACAGGAACAGGAAAACCAAATATGGGCAGGAAACACGGGAGAAAATAGATCATGGAAGGCACATGGGGTGAAAAACACAAGACACAGGATTGACATTACACAAGACACAGAACTGACAGTTAGGCTATTCATGAATGTAATAATAAAATGCGACTTAGCCACTTTTGTATGTGAGCGTGCGGGCGCGTCCATGTCTGTTTTGTCATTGTGCATTATAAGTAGTAGCACTTCCCATGGGATTGAAATACTCACCAGTTATGCCATCCTGGCGCCGGGCCTGGCACCAAGTCTATTTGTGCTGTGCTGCACGCACTGAATTAAAGAGACAGTAAAAATGAACATGGATTGACACGGAAATTTAGTAATTTCGCAATAAATGGATATAATTAAAGTCTACTGTGTTTCACAGTCAACACGTGGCTTTTTGGCTAGATTTAAAACAAGGAAAAGTGCACTTTAAGATAAACAAGGCAACATAATAGATGCACTTGTGGAGGTAGAAAAACACAGTTCTTTAAGACCCGCGGGATTGCTTGTAATAAAGATTTAAATGCAAAAGAAAAGGCACGAGAGTCGACTGTTTCTGT